ATGAAGAAGATAAAGAAGAAGAAGAAGAAGCAGAAGATAAAGAACAAGGAAGAAGAAGCAGAACAAGCAGAACAAGGAGAAGAAGAACAAGGAGAAGGATCGAGAATGACTAGGAGAAGGAGAAGGAGAAAGAGAAATAAAAGGGAAGGCCAAGAGAACTTTCAACTTTTCCAGCCATCTAGCCGAATGCATTTGCATGTTACGAGATATAGCCGCTATGTTCGTTGTTTTAAACAAAAGCTTTAGCCTTGGTTTCGTTTTCACGTTAATCATCATGACGGCGATCTTTGTTCTCATTTTTATGGAAAGGAAAAGGATGAACCCGACCAACCTAAATCTTCAATTTATTTTGCTCCATTAATGACAGTTTGCACGATGTTGAACCTAATTAGCTTCAAATATGAACCTGCTACACAAGCTCCAAAATCTACCAGTGCAAATCTTATTCATTAGTTGTTCAAATCTGATCTGACCAAAAACATTATAATTACACTGAGCCATCTTGATTTCGAAAACGTTCTCTCTTTCGTAACTGAACACCAACAAATGCATATGAAATAGCGTATTACCAGGTTTAAATTTAGCATGAGCTTCAAGTATGTTACTGAGGGAGCGTTGTAGTTCCAAACCTCCACCCCTTGTGGAGCCTAGGGGTCTGATAATGAGAACGGGTAGGGAAGGGACCGAAGAGATTAACCCGGAGAAAAGCTCTATTAATAAAGAGATAAACCAAGTAAACGACAAAAACTATGACCAGGAACGGAACCAGAGACACTTTGGGAGAGGCGAGTATCTCGTTATAATTGTCGTACGATATTTTCATTGTCTAGTGTAATATTGTTCGCAATGAATGGGACTACTTTCAACAACGAATATTTCACACATTCACTTTTCCATTGATTATTGCTGTAAAAATACTAATTTTATTAGCGTTTCCTTTTATAATAATTTCAAAATAGCAAGATATATATTGACCAGTAAATTTGACATGTTTTTAACAATTAACGATTAAACGACAACTGCATGACTAGTGTCAGTTAACTTTCTCTTTGTACTTGAGTCGTCTGTTCCTCCTCATGTATGGTCAGCGGATGATCTCTCAATAGTTCTCTTCGTATCCGTTGTTTCTTGGAGCAATGTTCCTGAAAGACCGTGCCTCGTCGTTGTATTCTCGTTTTCGAAAGAGTTTATCATCTTGATCTGCGGCCTAATAGCATAAGAGATAAATTCAAGGAAAAATATTCATTAAGACTCACCTAAAAGATGTTTTTATGAAGCTAATTGAAAACAGAATGTAACATGTTTAACTTGAAAAATTCCTTTGACACAATAAGTAATACCCTGTTATTTTTGCTTATATAGAAACATAAACTATACTATTTACTTGTAGCCTTTTTTATCGATAAAATAAAAATGAAATATCTGCCAACTTCATTCTCCGCATGCTATCTTCCCTCGCCTTCTTTTTCATTATCTCAGTATTTTGTACGCTATGTCTCGAATTTTGACAGTTCGAGATATTTTAAGTTCAAACACGAAAATCCGCTCCCTGTTTAGTAATTTAGGGAGTGGCATACCATTGGAATGACAAGCTGGACTATCTTGTCTTTACATAGAAACGGTAGCCATCGACTTCCCGCCTTTATTTATCAGACATAACGGTAGAATTTTATCTTAAATAGAAAATACTGTCATTCATGACAGTAAAAATGGAGATAGAGGCAGAATAAAAGGAATAAATAAATATGAATGCATGCCTGAGCGGAAGAAAGAAGCCAGGCAAGAAAAGTTTAGGAAGGGAAAGGAAAGATATGAAATAATATTTCTAAAACTAAAGAAATAGGAAACAGATAGAAGAAGACAAGGGAAAGAAGAAAGGAACGCTGAATCATGGAACGAAAATGATATAAAAATGATCCTAAAACAAAGATAATTATAATTGGAAGTAGTTGATTAACCTTCTTTGTCAAAGCCGATTAGTTTGAAAGCTATACCAGCAGATCGACCTAAAAAAGACTGACACAGTCTGCTATTGTCCGTTACTTATGAGTTTTGACAACAAAGCAGAAATAATTTTGCTTTCTTATAGAATAGACTGAGAGATTCAGGATTCAGGATTTTTTGTTCATTTTGAAAATCCGTTTACAGGTTAGCCAAGTTTAAACTTCCAAAGCCAGTTCTCAACTTGCAGCTTGATTAATCCTCTGTGAAAAAGAGCGGGGTTCTTATTCTTGACTGAAGTTATAATGCGAAACGTTTCTCTGGACACTGAAAAGTGGTGTTGATATAAAAGTTTTTCGAATATCGCTAAGCCTCTCTTCTAAATTTATATCCCCAATTCAGCGTCAGTACTCACTTGTTCAAACTTTTTCAGAAATCTCTTTTTACCACTTGGTCCATTAGGTCTTGTCCAGGGACCAATATAGGCTTCAGATTCAATCACCAAGCTCACGAACATGACAAAAGCTAGCAAAAAAAGTACCGTTAATTTTCTCATCTTGGTTTAAGGTTTTTCAGTGTTAGCTGCTCAGTCGATCGATGATGTTTCTCTAGAGGCCGTCTAGTTGTACAAGCCTATTGGCTCCATACACCTTTTAAAGCATTGGTTACGGCGGGGGAACAAGGCTTGAAAGAGTGGCATGACAATTTCTCGGAAACTCTCACTTATTGTACTATGTATTGATGGGAAGAAAGTGTTTGCAATGATAATTAAATCAAGGAGCCAAGTTTCCGATGTCATCACACCTTATCGGCCAAATAAGGAAGGAGAATGGCTAGCATAAACGTATTGATTTAATATGAGTTGATTTTGTGGCTCTTGATTCCACAACCACTACAGTCCTTCTTCCAGTGAGTTTACATAGCCATCTATTCAGTTGCTATTCAAAGCTATTGGTCGGCTAGTGCATCAAACGTTTTGTTCCATAGAGCAAACGAGCTGAATACCAGTAAATAGCTTGTCGATTATAAAATAAAGACACAGAATTAAGCGACTTGTTTTGGGACGGCAAAAAGTTTTGGCTCCATCAGTAATGAGTATGCCTATGATAAAAGATTAAAAGCTGTTGAGATTGGCCCAAATTGGTCCAAAATGACTCAAAACTGTGCTATTTAACTCCATATATGCGTCGTAAAACCAAGAACCATTTAGTACGTAAAACAACTTGAAAGATGATCTCTCTCTGATTAAGCAAGCATTAATTTAGAAGTATTTTTTCAAGTTTTCATACTTTTTAAGTGTCCTGAATGCCGCGTTTTCAGGGCTGCATATTTTGAATATCCTTTAAGTAAAGAAACCATTTGCTTAGCTGGTTTAGAATTTCAAAACTTTTCTCATGGAAAACAATCTGAGCCTCTAACTTTTTATACTTTTTGGGAATAGTCATCGATCAAATATGTTCATCAGGAGCGGCAATTATTTATAGTAATGGGAGTTCATTATGAAATCCATGCCAGTAGCAACTAAAGGAATCATCATAATTCATGTTTCATGGAACGAGGGCTACATGTTTGTTAGCCACTGGCTATTGAGTGCTACCTGCTACCCTCGTAAGAACAAAGATGGTTCATGTTTCTTCAACAAACTTTTCTTGGTAGCTTGAGTTCCGTTTACTTTTTCGGGGATTTGCCCTTTAGATATGGACACTTTAATACTGAGATTCTTAGTCAATATTCTGACCAAGTCAATCAAGGAAGCATATATAAAAGTGCCTATATGAAGAAAACAATTAAGACACTTGAGAATCTATAAAAAGTCAACTATACATTGTTCAGTTTCAAGTGTTTCCAAAACAAATCAGCATTCATACGAAGGATCTTAAGCTGCCGAATCAAACAGGGAACAAAAGTCGAGTTCTCAAAAAAAAAAAAGAAAAAAAGGCCACAAAAAATACCTGAACCAATTTGCCAATCTTAATTTGCTCAACATTTTGTCGATATTAATTATACCTACATTGCTTTTGTATTAATAAACATAAAGCTGTGTATCCAATCATTAGTTTATATGGAAAGCTAGAGTGAATTTTTGTGACACACTGGCTTAGTG